CCAGACAAGTCTTGAACTCCTGGTCTCAAGCAATTCTCCTACATTGGCCTCCCAAAGTGCTGGGATTGCAGTCTTGAGCCACTGCACCCAGCCAATGTTAACTCTTGCTAAGACCTTAGCATAATACTGAACAGACCAAGAGACATGGTGTTTTCAAAGTGGTTGGTGTTAAAACAGGCTGCTTCTGGCCAGGTGTGGTGGCTCACACCTCTAATCCCAGCACTTTGGGAGGCTGAGGTGGGTGGATCACCTGAGGTCAGGAGTTCAAGAGCAGCCTGGCCAACATGGTGAAACCCCGTCTCTACTCAAAATACAAAAATTAGCTGGGTGTGGTGGTGGGCGCCTGTAATCCCAGCTACTCGGGAGGCTGAGGCAGGAGAATTGCTTGAACCTGGGAGACGGAGACTGCAGTGAGCTGAGATTGCACTGCTGCACTCCAGCCTGGGCGACAAAGCGAGACTCCATCTGAAAAACGCAAAACAAAAATCAAAAACAGGCTGCTTCTAACGTCTATAAGGCCTGGGGGCAAAGAACGAAATAAGACCCACATCCTAGAAGACACAATATATAAACATTGCAATTCTAGGGAATAAACTATTAAATAGAATATGCTGTGTCCTCTTATATTGATGAAGGAACCTTCACAAACACATGGAAGGTTTGGAACAGATTGAGAATTCTTGGGTTCCTCAGGGTTCTATGCTGGAATGTAGTGATGTAACCAGCCTCCTGCTACTAGTGACTTGACCTTCTTCTCTTTTCATTCTTCCCAGCTCCATCTCACAACCAGCTCAGACACCCAAACTCCATCCACACCACCCCATGGCTACTCCTGAGCCCAGAAGTGAACACAGCAGGGGCACAGTCTATCCTCGGAAGGATGGCTGTATGCAGGAAGCCTGTGCAAGCCCTAACACAAACTCAAGACTCTATAGGGAGTTCTCGAACTCCAGAGCATGGGTCTAGAAGAGGGATTGTGGGCCCTTTGCCTTTGCCTGCAGACACCTTCCTAAAAGCTAAGGGATGTAGCTAGAGGTGGCCAGAGCAGGGCCCTCTAATACCCAGGACCCAGATCAGAGCCTTTCTCTCCAGATCGAAGCTCAAGCTTGCCCTAAAAGCAAAATGACTCACCGTCCAGCACACTCCAAACAAGTATAGAGCGATCCTTTAAGCCCACGTACACATACTTGTCATCCTTGGAGAAGCAAGCACATTGGACCCCTCTGCAGTAAGAACTCTGTTGAAAACAGACAAGATGATCTCTCTTTTTCTTGGGATTTTTGTTTGTGCGTGTGTGTTTGTTTGCTTGCTTGTTTTTGAGATGGAGTTTCACTCTTATTGCCCAGGCTTGAGTGCAGTGGTATGATCTCGGCTCACTGCAACCTCTGCCTCCCAGGTTCGAGAGATTCTCTTGCCTCAGCCTCCCAAGTAGCTGGGATTACAGGCATGTGCCACCACGCCTGGCTAATTTTTGTATTTTTATGAGAGATGAGGTTTCACCCTGTTGGTCAGGCTAGTCTCAAACTCTTGACCTCAAGTGATCCACCCACCTCGGCCTCCCAAACTGCTGGGATTACAGGCATGAGCCACCGTGCCTGGCCATAGGATTCAATTTCTTTTTTTGATGGGGATTCAATTTCTTAAATTACTTTGCTTATACAGATGTTAGCTATGATTGTATTTAATTAAAAGCTATGTGCTAATGCCACATGGAATCCTGGATTGGATTCTAGAATGGAAAAAAGGGAGGAATTGAAAAGCTGGTAAGATTTCAATAAAGGCTGGACGTGATAGCTCACGCATGTAATCCTAGCACTTTGGGAAGCCAAGGTGGGTGGGTGAAACCCTGTCTGTACAAAAAATTTAAAAATTAGCCAGGTGCAGTGGCGCATGCCTGTGGTCCCAGTTACGCAGGAGGCTGAGGTGGAAGAATCACCTGAACCCAGGAGGTGGAGGCTGCAGTGAACTATGATCGCACCACTGTACTACAGCCTGGGTGACAGAGTAAGATCCTGCCTCAAAAAAACAAAAATAAATAAAAGTAAAAATAAAAAGATTCCCATAGGTCGACAGTTTAATTAATAGTACTGTTCACATGTTAACTTCTTCATTTTTGTTTATTAGTTTTGTTTGAGAGACAGAATCTTGCATTGTCATCCAGGCTGGAGTGCAGTGGTGAGATCATAGCTCACTACAGCCTCGAACTCCAGGGCTCAATCAATCCTCCTGCCTCAGCCCCGTGAGTAGCTGGGGGACTACAGGCACACACCTCCATACCTGGCTAATTTTTTTTTCTAGAGATGGGATCTTGCTATGTTGCTGAGGCTGGTCTTGAAATCCTGAGCTCAAGCAATCCTCCTGCCTTGGCCTCCCAAAGTGCTGGGATTACAGG